TTAAACACTTCTTATAACAATTTGTTCTCAGTTACCTAGTATACTATGTATATATTTGTATACATATGCAGAAAATTTTAAACATTCAATACACAAATTCCAAATTATTTTTTGTTATTAATTCAAAGCTGAAAAATATCCAGTCAAAAACAAAAAGGTATAATATTTATTCATTATAATTATTTAAATTAATATGAAAACAGTGCTTAGTGTGTGTATGCTTATTAAAAATAACTTTTTTTATTGTTCAAATTTTGTAGAAACTGTATACAATTAATAATGGTATTTATATTGTAGGTCAAAATTTCTTGTCATTGCATTAATACCTGCTGTTACTAAACACCTGTATTTATAGTATACATTGTAGCATTGTTCCCTAGTTAGCAAGAACCTTCTTTTTTTAGTAATACAATGTTAGCTAACAGATTATTTTAAAAAGAAAATATGTAAGAGATTCTGATATAATAAAAAAATGGTTAAAATGAATCCAAACAATTTTGAGAAAAAAAAAAAAAAACATATAGAGATTATACATGGAGTAATGAAAGGTTATTGGCCCAACTATTCCTAGAAATCATGAAATGTACATTGGAAGGGAATAACCAAGATTCATGAAATATACATGCTATTTCACATATTTATCCAGCAAATCAATGTACTCATTAAATTGTTTCTCAAATTTCTTTAACCATTCCACCCCCACCAAAAAAAATTTATATTTGGTTATTAAAATACTGCACTGCCCTGTAAGCAGGTGCATTGTCCCAAAAAAGAAAATACCTTTCTGCAGCTTCCTTTGATGCTTTACTTTTAATGCATCCTTTATTGATACAGTAAGTTAGAATATTACTCTGTATTAACTGTCCAGCTCTTAAGATAATCATACAAATAGCTTCTTTATCTCTAAAAATTGTAGTAATAAACTTTTCTGCTAACCTTTTGAACTTGCATTCCTTGAATGGAGAATTTGAGTGTTGATACTGCATGGCCCATTGTTTAGTCTCTAAATTATAGTAGTATAAACATGTTTTGTTAGTAGTGACAAGCTATCCCACCTCCCCACCAAATTATCAATACATCAATAAAAAGTATTCACTTGATAAAATTTCTGGTTGGCATTCAAACAGCTGTTTAGAAGTTATAAATCCCACAGACATCTCTAGTATCTCAGGAATTCTTTTATTAGAAAAGATTCATCCATCAGTCAAAATTGTTAAGAACATAATCAACAAATTCAGGAGATGACACCAGTGATAGACTCCAAGACTCTACTGCATCTTGGGTCTCAAAATCTCTACATTGGAAGTGGGTACAATACTTCACAACTGAGTATGATGGTCACTTGTCACTCAATCATACAGTTATGGATTTACTTCTCCAGGAACACAACATTCATGATAGTCTACTTGACAGTACTTAGTATATTTTTCATAAATAAAATGAGAGATCACAAACAAATTCTGTAAATCCATTTAAAATCTATGATCATTAAATACCTTATGAAACTCATCCAACACTTAGCTTTATGATATATGGTAGTGGAGGATTCTTTTTAAATAACTATTTTTTGTCTGCTTGGATAATTAAATCCTCTAAAAAATAAGTCATTCATTAGAAAATTTTAAATATGAAACTATTTTCACTCTGCTTGTACATGTTAAGAGTAATAACTGCAAATTTTTATCAAGATCATTCAGTGATCGAAAATGTTCTTTGTAATCAAACTGAAGACTTCTTCATTTATTCAATGTCCACTGAAAACACAAAATATATTTTTTCTTCATTAACGGTTATATTTATGCCTCAAAATCATTTCTACTGGACAGTAACAACATTAGCTTAAACAGTAACAAAGATGAAATACTTTTTAACTGTCATTATTCCCTAAACACAGATGAAGACCAGACTCACTCACTCAGCAAAATTTGGAAGTGCAAAAACATCAGCTTTCCAACCAAGATGAAGCTCTACAAATCCCTGGTGCTGTCCATATGTGAAAGTTGAACTCTGATAGCAGAAACCACCAAGAGAGTCTAAACATTTGAAATGAAAATGCTTCAGACACCTTCTCGGGATCTCATGGAGATCACAAGACAAATGACTTTGTACAGAGCCAAGTAACACAACTGGCAGGCCCCCAGAAGCTACTCTTGACAACAGTAAAGAGAAGAAAGCTGTTGTGGCTTGGAAATGGGTAGACATAAGGGGAGGCAATCCAAAAGCTGGATGGACATCATCAAAGAATGGACCAGGATGGACACTGACTGTTTCATGAGGCAGAAAACAGATCTGGTTGGTAATAACTGACTGCATTATCATCACTCGTCTCAGTCTCATGTCATGTATCAGTTCAGTCATGAGAAATGGGGAAGAGGAGGAGGATTCCCTAAATTTACAGAGAGCAAAGCTGAGATGGATAGAAAGATTAATCAGTTTTGTGAACTATCCATTTCTTGATACAAAATGTTCATCTGATATAATCATCAATATTTTTTTATACAGATTTGAACCCAAATAACTGTAGCACTTGTCATTCCAGTTAAAATATTTCAACAATATCTCAGAAATTATTTTTCTATGCACCCAGTGTACTATTATAAATTAAGACAATATCAGTAATATGCTGTTATCAATAACATACGCACAGTTTCAAACTTGACTTTTGTAAATAAAAATCAAGTACTAGATAACTATCTATGAATTCAAGACTCAATTTGACACACACTGTATTTATATTAAGAACAAGACCCCCACCACCTTCTAAAACAATAAAAAAAATCAATATTTTTGCGATTCTGACAAATATCTTGGCTTAAAGAAGGTCCAATGAATACTAATCTACAAAAATGATTCCCCTAAAATTCTTCTTTATTTTTACAAGTGAACCAGTCATTTTAAATAGTGTTTATATTTTTTATTCTCAAGATGCAAATAGGAAACACAAAAATGTAATGTTTCCTCTTAACTTTAATTTTTAGCTGACATGAACTCATTTCAGATTTGCATTAAAAAGAAAAAAACAAATGAAACTATTACTACTTGTAAATTTTATTTTTTTAATTTATGAATCATATTACAATCAATTATAGTCAAACCTTTTTTTTCATGTGATGCTGATATGGAAAGTAATCTATTTCTATAGCCTAAATTTGCAACAAAACTGTTTTTATCTTTCTTCAAATAAAATAAACTTAAATTGTCCAATAAAAAACATAAAATTTTATGTGTGGTCCATAACAATAGAGTTTGTTTTGTTTTTTTTTTTCTTGATATTAACATTTGAAAGCTAATTTGTGCTTTGGTCTGCATGGCCTTAATATTCTAAACAAAGGAAAACTCAGTTTAATCTTACAAAAAATACAAAAACATAAAAATCTACCAATAATATATTCCACAAAGTTAACCATTGCATTTCAAAGAATATCAAGTTGGTATGCGGATCATGTTATATGAAAGAACACTTTGCAAGACACAAGAAAGTCAAATTATAATTTTGAAAAGAACAAAATTTGGAAAACAAGTTAGAAAGATGATGTTTCCAAAAAACCTATTTTCCTCCACATAAAATTTTCATTATTTTCTAGTATTTTCCTTGTAGAACAATCAAAAGATTTAAAAAATTGTCATACTTTTAAGTGTCCCATTTAACAAAACCGGCAGTTAAAACTAAACTCTGATTATTCTTATTATGAAAATAGATAAGAGAAAAGGATCATTTAAAACGACATATGAAATTATATAGAAAAAGTGGTATCAGACTAAGAGAGTCAGATTTTTTTAAATGTTATGTCCTTTCAGGATGGAGGTAATTATGGCTCTCCACAACTCTCTTTGCTTTAATATATATGAATTGCCATAACTTTCAGAGAAAAATAATGGTGTGATTTCCTGTTCCCTTCTCCACGGATCTGAATTCAGAATAGTCCTTCAATCTATGAGATTAGAAAGTTAACTGCTTAAAAAGGTTCTTATCAGAAACCAAAATTAAAGATTAAATTTTCAGAGAAGCAATTCCACTACCAACTTTCTTTGAAAATTCCAAAAGTTTTTATCAAAATATAATTCATACATTTATCATTTAATAATCTCCATTTAGTGTATAATATTAACAACTAGCAGTATGGCCTGGCGTTGCCCAGGCTTGATTCAAAAATTGTACGACATACAGCAATTGCTATCACTTGACTTAAAATATTTTTGCCCTTCCTTGCCTTTAAAGGAGTGCCCTTTGCCATGCTGATGTTGCTACATGCCTTACTTCTTGCCTATCTCACACTGCGAATTTTTTCTAAGCTCTATACTAAACATTAAATCTGTTATGAAAAAGAACTAAACAAAATGAGCACAAAATGATCAGCTTTAAAAAGGACTCGAACTGGAAAAAACGAATGAAAAAGAATGTTAACAACAAATACTTTTTCACACACAACCCAGTTCTATGGAATCAGAATCAATGTTGAGTTTAAGCAAGTTTAATGAGCCAATTGGAGTAAAGTGCCATGCAGATTTAAATTTTTCCCACTTGTGATGAATGCAGTTATTGATTTTTTTGCATGATAGCATGCTAGTTAACATTCGTGTCAGTCAACTGTTGGCTCTCACGCTGGCCAATAGAATCTTCCTGCCTATTCGTTGCAGCCAGCTATAGGCTCTCACTCTGGCCAGTAGAAAATGGCTGCAAACTACATGAAAACTGCCGTAGAAGCATGAAAAAAAATCGATTATTTCCACTATCGATGGGAGTTGGGAAATGCAAAGTCGGTCTTGGCCTTGCCACTAACTTGGAGCATGTGCATTAAATTTTGGTGCAAATCCGTCGAAAATTGCGGACGTGCATTCGTTACACACACAGACACACATCCTGCCTTTTATAGATAGAGATAATAAGCATCATTTTAATTCCTGATTAAAAAGTAATTCTTAATTACTTTAAATAGCATTCTGTTATTTGGAGATATTAATAAAATGCCACTCACTTCTGCAGTGCAAGGGTCAGTCACCTCATTTTGAGTTTTGTCTGTACTTCCAACACAGCTTTCATTGACTTCTTCAACTACATTGATGGAACTCATAGAAGATTCAGTGGTAGACAAATCCATGTACCTAGTGGTAGTTGGAGTTGATGAATTTTTAGTGTCTATTTGTTGCTGCTGTTTACTAGTAAAATGAGGGAGGACCTGGAAGAGGCACATTATATACATCATGATGCACTTTTTATCTGGGTTGTCAACATTAACATCTGGAAAAAAAGTAAAAATTAAGATTAGGATTTGCTTTCATAATTACCATAAATTTTAAGGATAATGAAGATATTTTCTTGATATTAATCTACTTGTGATAAAGTAAATAATTATTGATTTAAGCTCAGAAAAGAAAGGAAACCTTTATTTGTAATATAAATTTAATACTCTAACACTTAATAAATCATCAGTTTCTATAAATATAAAAATCACTCTACAGTAAATTGATTTTTAATTACTAATTATAAATCATCCTACAGAGATTTATAAATTGTCACAGAAGTTCTCTCACCTCTATAAAATTTATGCATAATCAACATTTTCATCAAAACATCTATTTCCTAAAGTTCTTTTTGTTTTTATGCTGTCTACTGTAAATGCCTACTCTGGACATAGCTACCGAGCTGACCATGAGAGAAACATTTGTATATTTATCTAATATTTGCATTAATAATAATAAAATTTACTTCAGCAGACTTGCTATTTTTCACTTATTTAAATAATTCAGTACAGTTTAAAATCTAATTAAAACAGATTATTTTGATTTTAGATAATTCTGTAAATTTTTGGGGGCTACACTCAACAAATTTGTAGGAAAAAACTGTGCGCCCAGTAGCCACAGCGCTTAATATGGCCTTTTTACGGAGCCTTTCTTTAGTGACACGTAATTCGTTCTCTGCTCTCCATTTCCTTCCTGAGTAAACTTCAATGCCTGCTCCAGCCACCTTTGGATCTTTGGATAACTTGTACTGCATTATTGTTCTAATTTTGGTGACTTTGAATTCCTCTACTAGACTTCTGAAAGGAAGTTGCAGAGTATTGGTAGTGCCGTATAGAGCAGCACTGGTCAAACTCTTCGATAGACCTAACCACCTTCGTAGTCACATGTTAATTCTTTTTTCTAATTGTTCTATATGAGATGTTATGAATTCATAAATAGACAATGGCCATAAGATTTTGGGAAGAATGGCATGCTGATAAATCCAAGCTTTAAATTGGCCTGGCAAGCTGGACTTATCAACTCTCTTTAACCAAATCTCTAGTTTGTCTTTTGTTTCTTGGATTGCTGTTGTGTCTTTTAGAGAGTGAGCTATACGTTTTCCAAGGCTTTTTACGGGCTTTTTCTTAATTGTTGGTATGTTCCCCGCCTCGGATAGTCTGAATCGCTCCTTATTCAATATATATATATAGCTGACATCATTATGATTATGTGTTAACGATGCAGACTGTTTTGTTCAACTGATGTTTCAGACATAAGTTAGCCTTATGTAAAAGTTAAAATATGTACTCATAAAATAGATTTTGAATAAATTACCTACAAGATGGATTCAAACTCCAAATTGGAAAATTACAATAATGTCATTCTATTATGATTAATAACCATTCTTAGACCTCATTGCAATTTATAAGTGACTACTACAACAAGGAGATTTGATTTCTCTACTGAACAAATATTAACTTCTACAAATTCATCTTCTAATTATAAGTTGAATTAAACTCATAATTTTCTAAAATAAAAAAGTTTGGAAAATAAAAAAAAATATACTCAATGAAATATGAAATTTTACTCAGCTACCATTGTTTTACAAGGATAAATTCATTAAGCAAATTTAATAGACTGCCTATTGATTTATAAAAAGTAATAAATAAGTAAAAAGTTTTTCATTAAATTTTAAATGCAAATTTACTGAAATATTTTTCTATTTTCTTTTAAATTTTTAAAAATTTAATAAACTAAAAATAAAAATTTAAAAAAGAAGATATAATTTAATTCTAAACATTTATAAGAAATTTTTGGCACAGGAATGAATTTAATTGACTTATTAATATCTTATTTCTTTAATTACATGTTTAGGTAAATTTTTGTTAAAATACTCAACAAAAAAATGCCCAAAGAAGCAGGAATACCAAAATAAAATACCAAATAGTTTTGCTTGTCTCTGATAAATGTTTCCCCAAAGTAAAACAAAAGAATTTAGTCTGATTAGACATGAGTGAAAGGTAAGTTGTTCCAACCTTCAGGATCCAAGAGAGGCTCTATGCCAAGGTGCTGATGAGCAATTTTAAAAGCATGGTCCAAGTTGTAATAATTGTCATTATCCAGAAGATCTTCATAAGAGAAAAGTTCTGGCCTGAAAAAAAAAGATTTTAGCAATCATATAGTTTTCCATAATACAATGCACACACACACACACACATATATATTAGTTACAAGATTTTTGCTTTATATATTATTGAAAATATTAGCACTCTAGGTTGAGCAATTCTTTCAATGTTTTACATAATTTCAAAGTGTGAACACAGTACAATGGGTTAATTATTTTAAAAACAAGACTACACAAATTATGTTTTTTAAATAAATGTTTATAATAAACAGAGACTAAAAATATAAAAAATATTTTAAATGACAAAACATTCAATGTTTATAAATATTTAATTGAAATTACACCAGGGAAAATGATTAATTCATAAACTTATTAATCAAATAGCTTATAATATCTAAAAATATTACAACTGTATAAATAAACCTAAAAATGGTATTGGCATGAAATATACAATAATTATTTATATATATATTGGCATGAAGTATACATAAATGTATACTTCATACCAACATTTCAAAATGCTTGAAATAAAAGTGAGAAATCATTTTTGAAATCCAAATCATTAAAGTATTGGAATTTTCTTTTTTGACAACTTGAGTTTCAAATCAGATTTTATACTATTTTACTTGGCTTATAATAAAAAAAGCTGTCATTTAACAATGGCTAAATATCAATATTGTGTGTACACATATATAGCATTAGTATTATCTAAATTTTAACTCTCTTATTTGCTATTCAGTATCAAGTAGTAGAACTGAATGTAACAACATTTAATAGAAGAAAAAATTAGCACATTCCCACATTGATTCATAATAACAACATTTGTTCAGTGCTTGAAGGTACATCAATAAATCTATACACTTAGTGGAATTTTTATCTGAAATTTTTACTGGATGTTATTTGATCTATGGGCTTAATGAAAAATAATGAACTAAGTACATTAAAAAAAGGATATTATGTTAAACATTATGTAGCATTTTTTTTTTTCATTTTTGAGCCAATAACATCTTTAACTGCTACTTTTGCTAAAATTTTAATTCGAAATTTCCTTTCTCTTATATGCGACAAACAACACTAGGATATATGACAAACACTGGCAGAGCTTTTCTAGTAATAACAGATAATGAAGAGGAATAATGCAATTGTGTAACTAATGCTCACAGAAAATGCATTAGCAAACTACTGGGTGGTCCGAAAATCTTTCTAACACTCTGCGAGGGTATTATCAAGGAGAGAGTTTCATATAAATGATACCAAAATACCTATTTCTTGAAGGACACCATTTAGAGAGCCTTTTCAACAATCAACAAAGCACAGCTTCATAAAACATCACACAAGACATGGCACTGCATTATTTTGTGCCACAAAAATAATAGTGTTCATACTTACATTCTTGATGTGTGTCAGTGAAGGTGAATAAACTGAATCCAGTACATGTGCTATGTATTACTTGTTCTATTGTCCTCATTATTTTTTTGGTAGGGGGTGACAAGACTTTCGGACCACGCTGTAGTTTAGAAAATCTAGCATTTTATGTTCAATTCAGATTAATTTCTTCGAGAAAGGCATGAATCAGCTTCTACCTGCATTTTGTCCCATTGCTAGATATCTTAACAAAATGTCTCATCAATGCAAATACAATGATCACTTATGTAAAAATGTTCAACACCTGAGTGTTCTAAATTGATGTGAGAAAGGCCATCTGGTTTGCCAAAGGTTAATTTTTGACAGACAAGAAACTTTCTGTAACTGTAATCACAAAAGTGTGTGTCAGAATTTTATTAATTTAGAAATGGTAGTAACAAGACACACCTTGTGTACTGGCAAATTTATCAGGAAATAGATAAGGGACAAAATTAATTACCTAGAACTTTTACTTACCAATCTACTATTTAATTAGAAGTTAGGGGCATATGAATCTCAACCACATGGGTAAATAAATTATGAGGTAAAGGTTTATAAATAAATTGTCATGGTTTGAAGCAATATAGGCAAGCTGTGCAGTTTCCAGATTACAAAATTCAAAAGATATTATCAAATGCTTTGTGTCTGTTGGGCTTGTAAGATAATGAATTAACATGTTTCTTCCTTGAACCCCAATCTGTTTGCTGAATAAAAGATATTTTATCAAGGAGCATCTTTTCTTCTTTCAGAAAATATTTTATCTTGTCTTCTCATATCAATTTCTTCATGAAAATATAGTGCACTTTTCACACCATATTTCCCTACCTGTGCTTATGTATGAGAGCATTAAAAGCCAGTCCATCTTTCCAGCATGTAGTAAAGTTTTTCAAGTCTATCTTGCTGTACCTATAAAGAAAATAATATATATATATATATATATATATATATATATATATATATATATATCAATATATTGAAAAAAATCATCAGCTAATAAATACAGAAATTTGTTATATCAAAGAGAAATTATAAAAAGATGAGTTAAAGAGTTTAAATTTAATTGTTGCTATGCTGATTATACAGAATATTGATATGCATAATTGGTGATGATAGTAATTGAAAATAATAGATGACCAATATTTAATCAAGCAACAAACATTCTTATATTTATATACAAAATTTTTAAAAATTGGAACATTGTTGTAGCAAAGCAAGAGGCACAATTACAAAGCACTGTAAAAATAAATAGAATAAGAAGAATAAAGTAAAGTAAAATGCACATAGAAATAGGAAGATCTTTCATTTTCATGTTCTTCTATATTGTAAATTCATCCAGTGAAATTGTGGAGAGAAAGGTGTTGGGAAAATGGTTAAATTATTTGTTTATTTTTTTGTGTAATTCTGTTTTTGATGCAGATATCTATCTCATCAAAGTACTTCTTACCATCCCCATTTCAAGATAATTATTTTTATTATTGACATAGCTGTGTCAGTAGATCATAAAGTAAAGATAAAATGAAAAACTGGGAAAATAACAGGAACTGAAGAAACTAAGAAACATTAATGTGGTTATTTTTTTTTTTTTTGTCTATTTTCACAATTTGCAACAATGACACTCACTTGAAATCAGATAAATTGTAAATACAAAAAGAAGGCAGCAGAGTAGTAAGGGTCTACAAGATACTGAGAAAGGTGCTGGAGATATAGAAATAAAAAAATTGAAAAATCTATCTTATTTCATTGAATTTCTAAACATTATATATTTTTTTTTTAATGAACTCACCCTTCAGTTATTTGCCTGCACCATTCCAGCAACATTCTTTCTAAGTTTGTTTGTTGTAAATCTCCCATTACATCTTTCATTACATCTTTCACCTGAAATGAAACAAGTGAAATCCTCAAAATGGATATTAACTTTCTTTTATTAACATTAAAGATGACAAATTATTTCTAATATAGCATGACTCCAAAGGTTGTTATTTTAAAGTTTAATAATTTTTAAAGTAGAAATACTAGAAACACACAAAAATAACAACACTTCAATTATCTAATTATTTTATATTTATTAAATTTTGTAACTTTGAATAACTTTTCTTATTTCATTTTCCAGGCATTCTGATTGAAGAAAAATTCGATTTACATTCTCTGGCGAGACCAATTCAAGTTAAGCATAAGAAGAAAATTCACTTTGCATTATAAGAAATTTAATTCTTAGAAACTTCATTAAGATTTTAGATAGATCCTGTTTTTAATAAAGTGTATGTGTGAAATTTCATTAAAAACAAACAAGTCATTTTGGGTTTTGTTTTTTGCGTTTTGAGAAAAAAGTCTGTTAGAAGATTTCATCAAATGTACAAATGTTCAGGGTTCTTTTTAGATATAACTGAATTTTATTTACCTGCCAATGAAGAATAATACTCCAGACAAGCCCAAGGATCAACTTACAGTTTCCATCCACAATATCATTACTACTGATATTCACAAGCTTGATCTACAAAAGGAAATATAGAATTAAATGTGAGAAAAGTTTGGAAACAAAAAGTTCATACTTTGAAACTTAATATGACAACTGAAAAAAAATTTAAACTAATGTACCATGAATATAAATATCTAAAATTCAGTTTCTCAACATCATTTTAAAACTTGATTTAAATCAAAACAAAAATACTGCAATACATACATACATACATACATACACACACACACATATATATATATATATATATATATATATATATACATACATACATATTAGATGAGTTAGCTATCAGTAGATAAAATACTCAATATTTTGTTATTGAAAAATAAACAAGAGGACCACCCACTATGATGGCCTATGATGATTTTTCTGTTATATGTTCCTTCAGGACATAAGCAATTATGGCTCTCCACAACTTCCTTTCATTTGTTGCTTCCAACAATATTTTCTCTTCTAAAACTCTACTTTGATTTCAGAGTACTTGTTCCTCCATCCACTTGTTTGAACCTATTTATTGATGCTTTCCTCTTTCTTGCTTTTGATGGACTTTGTGAATGTTAAATTCTCACAAGTACCGAAAATTTAAGCTGTCTATGATAGTAAAAATTAATCTAGGGTTTTTTATTCTTGTTAAAACTCCATTTTTCATAATCTGCCCATGGTATTCATCAGCAGGATTATATCTCAGTCATTTCAAATCTTTTCCTCATTTATAACAACATTATTGAGCAGGAGAATAAGCATTACATAGCAATGGAACACTGATTGGTTTCTAATAGGATTGGCAGGTCCCTTAATACATTGCTCATTTTATAAATACAGTATTTTAATTGAATTGTCATAGCGAGACTGTCCATAGAATTTGAAATAAACATAAAAACAAAGACTTTAAAGTCAGTATTTTAAATGGTAATTTTTAAAACAGACAAGTTGTTTCCACTTTGAAGATTGGCACAACATGATCTTCCTAGTAGTCATTACTTATACCATAAAGAACATAAAATCTTACAACACTTTCATAAGAACAAAATAAAGGATGAACATTTTTTTTATATTCAAATATTACGTTCTTTCTTTACATAGAAACTTGCTACAAGAGTAGAATGAAAAATGCTGAAGAATCCACAAATAGCCTAAATAAGAATAATAATTACATGAGATTTTTTTTCTTTTTACAGTTTATTTGGTTTAAATTCTTTCAATAAAAAAAAGAACAATGGTGTAAATGCTACAGGAGCAATAGAAAGATAAAATATAACACTTTGTGTTTGATGATAAATACAAGCTTGAATGTACTGAGTGTCTAAAGCTTTAGGGATTGGTTTTATTTAATAACCATTTCTTACAATTTTTTTTTTTGTAAAGTAAAAACAATCATGGAATTTAAATGGATTTTATCAGTTGAAAATTAAATTTTTCAATATCAATATTAATATTTTATTAATCAAAATATCATCAGTCAGAAAGAGTAACATCTAAATCTTATTTTTCATCCTTAACATCTGTTTTTCTAAAATTTGTTGGCTGCATAATTTCAATATACAGGCTGTACAAGTTATTTGAGAATACACATTTAGGAAACCATAAATAGAAGATGGCGTTATGCTACATGTGCCAAATTTTAACATTCCCATTTCTCTTTCAAACACTCTGAGAGCATTAATATGACAGCTTCCAATCTCTAATAACCACAGTGACTCAGAGATAGCAAACTTCTTCAAAGTGGTCAAGTGAATAGGAGGAGCAAGAGATGGTTATATGTACATGGGTATCTCTGTAGGATTAAAGTGGTATCCATGGTGATGCAACATTAAGTTCAAATTAACTGTAATGGTCCTGGAGGTTGTGAGAAATGAGGGTCATTTCATACCACTCCACTTCTACCTGCAGTGCCAAATGGTAAATGACATGGAGGTACTGGGTACAATGTACAAAATTCTGGAACAAAAAGGTGGCTTTGTAAAGGACTCTACTGCCTCACATGTCCTAAGAATAGCCAAGAATTTTCAATCATATCACTCACAAACATATGGTTCCCTAAACTAACTTGATGGTATCTGTGCAACTGTCAAAGAAATAGGCTCCTAAATTAGTTCCCGTTCTCTTTAAGCCCTGCAACAAATACAAATGCTGCTTCTTGATTTCCAACTTGTTGGAAACCCTTTTCTGTAGTTCCTGCCTTTATAAACTGTGGTGAACCTTCTGATCCCTCAAATTATTGTCCCATTAGTCTTTTACCTCTTTTTTTGCAAAGTACTAGAGGCTCTAATCAACTCTGAATTGGTGAAGTATCTCACTTCACATGACCTTCTTTCTTTAGGTCAACTACCAATGTTTTAACAGTTATTACTGAAAGAGTTTATCAAGCTTTAGATAAGAATGGTGAAGCTTGCTCTATGGATCATAAAGGCATTTGTCAGGCTTTGGCATACTGGTCTTCTTCACAAGCAGAAGGGTTATGATGTTTCTGGATTAATTTTTTGATTTGATCCAACCTTTCTTAAATTGTGTAATGAAAGCTGTGTTGAATGAATCTTCTAGATTTTTCACATTAATGTGGGTGTTCCTCAGGGTTCTATGCTTAGACCTACTTTGCTTCTTATCTTCCTGATGCCATCAGTTACCAATTCTGTATCAATGTTGATGATACAACCATTTATTTACTCCCATCTTAATAGTAAGTCCAAAAAGTCTAATAATGGAATGATTATATCAATGAACTTTCCTCCTTGGTACCATGACTGCATGAATTTAGGCAGAGTATTAGACTGGAAACTAGGTCTCACAGTTTTAGTATTGAAATAGATAGTTGTAACCATAAGTTACATTCTAATAGTTTCTTTGCTGACACTTCTCACTTGTGAAACTCTCTCCCAGCTTCTTACACTTAAGACCTTCAAAAGTTTAAATGCAGCATTAATCATTATCTTCTGTCTTCCTGAATACTGTTCTTTTATTGTCCTTTTTCCTCTAACATTTCCTCACTGTCTTTCACTTTCAATAACATCAGTGAAATTATTGCTTTGCTTAAGATGAAATGATTAAAAAAACAAACTTGCAGCTCCACACAATACCAAGGCCTCACTCAAGGCTACAATGATGGCCAACATAAACAATATAAAGGAACATGATCCAGGCTGGCAGTTACTTTCAAAGTGGTCTTCAGAGCAGAAGCCAATTTTATTGAATATCCTTCTACTTTTCTAAGTTGAACATGTGTATAACAAACATTGTGGAAAATATACTAATTTTTTTTTCTATTCAATATTTTAGTTTATATTATATTTTCAATTACCTAGCACCACTTGATTAATGCATCAAAAGTACATACTCCTTTACATATAATGTAGAATCAACTCTTATAACCTTCTTGAAAAGAGTCACTTTTCAAATAATGTTAAACATCAACCATTTTAGATTACACTAATCTTCTGAAGTATAATTTTATATATAAAGTCAAATATAGACGAATGCTTTTTTTTAAATTACTTTTACAAATTAAAAAATAAACCTTTAAAAAGGATGTAAATGGTCATCACTAAAAACACTGATTGCCAGATTGTGGTGACTATGATTTCAAAACATTTTAAAATTTTATCAATAGTTTTTAAAAGTCTTTTTTGTGGCTCTATCCCTGTAGAAGGAAAATCTCCAAGTTGTATTAATTTCCTGCATTGCAATTATTAATTATATATAATTTTACATGAGACAAGAATGAGTGTCAAAATAATTTTCTCTAAGGTCTGAAATTTGAAAACTTATCAATTTGAATCTATAATCCTTCAGTATTTTTTTTTTTTTGTTTAACAAGATTAAAAATTCAACTCAGATGCCATGCATTTAAATATGAGTAAATTGCAATGTACTTACATTGTAACTGTGTTCAAGAACATATAAGGCACGATTTACATTGTTAATATGATGAACACGTAGTCGTCCCTTTTCTCTTTTCTGTAAAAGAAAAAAGATGGCTTTTTCCAAATCTATCATATAAACAAACAAAAGTTTACTTCAATAACATTTCATTTTTTTTTGTAAATACTTGCCTCTAACCATACAGAAATTTATTAGGCAGTGAAAGATTTTTTTAAAAATAATTTTCATTAAAAAAAACTTAAATTAGGATATTTAGTATTTGAAGAAATAAGTATGTTTATTTTCTCCTAAAATGTTAAATTAGATTTCCTTTTTGATCAACAATACATATATCTAAATTTTATTGAATATATAAAACTGCTCTATGTCCAATAAAATATCTCATACTGCATAACAACTTTATGTTAAAAAAAAAAAAAAAAGAAAAAGTGAAGAAAAAAAAAGTAAGGAAAAATATAAATTTTACTTTTCACTCACATTGAAGTAAAAATCGGAAATTTATTTACTCAGTTTCTTTATCCAATTTACTATAATGCAGGTTGACGTTTGCTTTATGTTAAAAATTATAAAATATCACGTCTTCTCATTGGTACAATAAGGGTGTGCTAAGGACATGAATGTATGATTCTATGTGCTCTCTTGTATATATAGTGGCAGTAAGCTATAAAACATGGTAGTTGTTGAAATACCTGAATTTGCCAATTTCCCTTTGTGTGTTCCAATGAGTAAAGAGAATAAAATACAAAATTATCACAACCCCAGTTATTTAATCAAAGTTATCAAAACTTAAAAAAAAAAAAAAGAAGTTAAATACGTCTTTTATTGTCAATACTTTTTTATTATATATTTCACCTATACATTCTGATAACATTTAAGTACATAAATTTTATAGATATATATATATATATATATATATATATATATATATATATATATAAATATGTATTGTCAAATGACCGGATATATTGTAGCGTCCTTGTTGAACGTAATTTCAATGAAGAAATGAATTGAATAAACATATATATTTTTTCTTTTCTCAATAATTTTGTAGTTTTTAAACTTAATAGTGATTAAATTTGGATTTTAAAATTACCAGTTTTTAATTTTAATATTAAATTTTATCATATAATTTTATAATTATTAGTTAGTATAAATTATTTTTTTAATATTACACGTATTTAAAGATCTGAATAGCTATTATAGCAGGATTTCGTTGTCAAGCTTTTGAATCTTTCTATACTTCGTTTTTGATTGGTTATTCTAGCTTTTGTAACAATGTTTCCCCTAGTGTAGGATCGTTAATTAATCTGAAACTTTTTAAAACCATTTATTTTATTTTCAACATCATCACTTGATAAGACACAGAGTGTGTTGAAACAAAATGGCTATTTTTGTAGTGATCTTATAACATATTTATGTTATAATTTTTTAAAAAAAAAAAATATATATATATATATATATATATATATATATATATATATATATATATATATATATTTGAATAAAAGACAGACCACGTTAAGATTCCATGTAATAAGTTATTTCACCATAACCCCTTTAACAGGGTTCTGGATCATCAGACTTTACTTCCAAAAAGCTGAAATGAAAAATGAAAAGAAATTCACACGTTTTTTATGGACCTCATCAAGTATACGCAAAGTTAACGAAGTGAGGAAGTGAGGTGGGAGAGAGGATATGAGTGTGTCATATGTATCATTTTAGTTTCCTATTTTAACCCCAGTGTGTCGGCTGGATGTTGCTCAAATCTAACGCGTCTCGTCTCTAGATAAAGGTGGTTAAGGGGGTGAGCAATAAGGACTACATTAAGGAAGACGTTACAACAGCCCCAATAAATTACACGACAGGTTTCATTCAAATTCCTAGACGCTGTCAGTTCGCGTTACTTTAACGTGCATATTTGGGAGGTTAAGGTTTGATAAATATCTAAAATTTTAAAACAATCTACAAAGAAATTAATTTGAAATTCGGTGGAGTTTTGGGTATTTCCTATGAAGCAGTCGATTGGAAAGATCCATAGATAGAACATTGAAAGAGTAATCAAATTTATATTTAGTACTTTTTCCACTAAAGCTTTTATCTTATAGCTTGTTAGGTTGACATTTATTCGTTTGATTTTTGTTCATTAAGTAAACTTGTGATTGTTTTTGATTTTTGTTCATTAAGTAAACTCGTGGTTGTTTTTATGTATCCAATTATCAACAGTTGTTCCCATTTAAATAATTTTATTTTCCCCGTTGGGGTAGTATCTTTCAATCTCAATTAAAATACTAGTCTAACACTTCCCCTTCGTGCTATTTAAAATTCACTTCTAATTGGAGAATATTAGAGGAGAAATTTGGAAGAGATGTCACTAGCAGAAAATTAGGCCCTTCTTTTATATTTTCTTATCTACACATGTCTTAAACCCCTATTTGTAACCACATACCTATATCGTCTTATATGCCTATGAGTTCCTATATACACCTACACACACATTCACACAAAACGATATATGTATATATAGCCTATTTACAAGGGATGCTCTGAATATAATGCCTCCTATTTATTTCCACAGAGACAAAAACAGATGCAAAGAGAACAACAATACTATTGGATAAAACAAGTTTTCAGCTATAAAAATAACAACTATTTCTACTACTGGCTTTCCAATTTCACCTGCAATAAACAAGAGCCTGTATACTGCACTTATAAATATATGAAAGCAAAGATGACTCACTTTTTCATATACGTCATTAGCACCACTGCTAAAATGTATTAGCCACCATCTAACTATGCTCATATCCACTGTTTGATCTCCAAAAAATATTAAAAAAAAAAGGATTGATAAAAATCAATGGGTGTCATTGTTTCTGCATGGAGGAATTCAGTGATACCCATTTGCTTTCATGTCAGATACCATATTACCAGAGTGCTAATTAGCTGCTATCAGTAACAAAGTAAAAAAAAAAATGAGTTATTGGTGAAAGGATTCAACTACTATTGCTATACCACCAATATCTGCCAACAGAACAAAACAGAAGGCATTACATTCTGAGTGACAATCATAAGACAGAAACCTGTCAAAGTTGTGAGGTAACAGTAAGGGTAACAAGTGGGTATTATAAGGTAGTAATGGGAGAATAGCTTGCTTAAGGGCTTACTCTTTTCTATCAACCACTGTTGAATACCAGTAACAGGGAATAATACAGGAAAAAATGGATCAATGCTTTTCCCAAATGAATTAGACAACAGACAGTGCCTGTTGGAATTTAAATTTGATTTACCAATTCCTGTAACAATTACACCAACCTTTATTTCTATATTTATACTTAGACATGTAGTTAAATTACAAGTTTTAAAATAGTCAAGGCAAATTTTTCTGGAAAGTCATGGAATTTGATAGAACATAACTGCAAATCTTAAACCCTGATAGTTTGCAAAATACTTTCATTTTGGACAACTTTTTTGTTTAGCACTGAAATTTATTTTCAAGTAAAAAATATATTTTCATTCAACTATCAAAAAAACGGATTTTTTTGACTTGATAAAATTTCATATGGAAATAGCATTGAAAAATATGAGAAATTTTATTGCTTAATCATGAGTGTAATCAAATTTTATATTTTTAGTCTGAAAATGAATTAAAAGAGAATCAATTTACTCTCTATTTAAGAAGTTTATTTTGAGATACTTTCATTTTCAAATTTTTAATAATTCTGAATTATTATTCAAAAATGTCTGAAATTATACTCCCAAAATTATTTAAAATATATTCAAATATGTTTTATTGTTTATATATTCATAAAAATTACTTTGCCTCAACTAATATATAGAATCCACATCATTAATATTCACTAAAAATAAAGTACTCCAAAGTATCTTATTTGTTAAAAGTTTATTTACATTATTTATTTATTTATTATACCATCAGGTAATAGCTAAGTGGATTAAATTGAATTTGGTAATTGTGAATTCAATCCCTGAGCTGGGTAGTGACTACTTGGACTATATGTAAACAATAATTGAGCAGAACTAAATGAGATATCCCTAGATCTGGTCAGCAGAAGGAGAACAATCTACCCCTGTAGATTAAATAAATGGTTTTAGTCAAAATTCCCTGAAGGTTACCCAGATCAATAATCTACTGATGAAAGCCAGAAGGCACAATGGCCAAAACATGAAAACAACAGAGATGGGTACATGTGAAGGTCTGCATGTAAATAATGATGTCACAGAAATTCAGATAGAAAAAAAGTTTATTTGATAAAATTAATGTAAATGTTTTATCATCTTTGAATTTTGATTTCATTTTTAGACCACTTACAAATGAGTATGGTTAAGAAAGTAGATCATAAACAGACATAAATATCAAATTAGTGCATGTGTGTGCTTTTGAGTCAATGAGTATATTTGTATGAATGTATAAAAACAAACTGAAATAAAATAATCATTACATTTTCTTGGATCCATAAAGAGCAGTGGAAGAGTTTTCCAAGTACTTCGATCATGTCACAAACACCAATAGTAAGAGGAAGATAATTTTTCTGACACTGATATTTTGGGGTTGTTTTTGTTTTGTCTTCTTGTAATTATAGCAACAATTCTAAAGCTTTATTTGACTAATTCAGCTTTAGTGCTGAAAACATTTATTTTATTATAGTGGATGATTACAAGCGAAAGGGGAGATGGGCTATACTTATTTTATTATCACATTTGTGTTTTTGTTTCTATTAATTTTTGTGATATTAATTATTTCTAATCACATGTACCTAATTAAGCTGTTTACTGATAATGAACATGCTGAAACATTAAAAACAAAAACAGTAGATTCATATTTGAAATCACATATGTTCTCAAATTCCATGCATATTCAGATAAACAGAATTAAAAAAAAAAAAAAAAAACGAGTTCAGCACATTCATAAAGTAGGTGATAATTAGAAAAACAATATAGAAATATTTAAAGTGTTTTAGTATTATTGGTAATTATATAAAAGATAATTACTGTTAACTGATGAATATCAATTAACTAAAATTAGATTAATTAAATGATTACCTTCTACACTTCCTACTGAA